ATCTGAGAACAAATCAAGTTGCACTACATAATCTGTATGCTGGTGTACCACATGGAACCTCCACCCCACTGCTAGCACCATGGCTATACCTAAAAGGTGGCTCCAAAGACCTGTTTTTCACTCTCCTTATGAATTCAGAGCACACATTTACTCAAGCAAGGCAGATGTTTTTCCAGTTCTTGTCTAAACTACCACTTAGACAATTCAAAAACTTTTGCTTCCTTTTTCTTCCATCCAGGGGAACTGATTTATTGTTATGCAAAAAAATTAAGCTGCTGACACACTGACTTTTTTGGGATTGTTTTTACATCAGTGCTACCAACATCAGGAGCCAAATCGGAAGCGTGCATTTTGGAATGCAAACAATGACAACATTTGAATAAGAAGGTAACATCATGCCCCAGTTTTGCTCTTTGTTCCTTCTCTCTATTCTAGGGCTACAAAAACTTACTCGTACACAGAGACAAGCACAAATCTTGCACACTGCTTATGTTTGTTTCCCCCCCCCCCTTATTTTATACCAAAGATGAGATGGCACTCCTGCTCTTGATCATTAGCACTGAACTTCTTGGTTACTAACTTCAACCAAAAATACTTTATATTTGGGTTCTTCCGGTAACTATCCTGTAAGTCTGCTTCATAGTCTAGATTTCTGAGTGGAAATGGCAATGAAAATAAGGGTTTATGCTATTCTGACTTACAGATTTCTCTCTGAACCTAAAAACCTTAACAACAGTCTTGCAAGAGTCTCAGATCAAGGAAGTGAAATGCAAGGTGGCCTTCTCATATTAGCAATGAAAAGCCTCACACTCCTAGTCCTTTCCAGTAAAGAATTTGCCCCACCTTACTCAATTTGTGCTGTCAAGAGACAATATCATCATACAAGCTTGCTTCTTCCACAACTAATTTAATGTAATGCTACAGTTTGACAAGTCTTTTCGGTTCCAGTGGGCTCAAAAGCCAGTAACGTTTGCAACACAGATTTATCTTGTACTGTAACTGAAGAAATTTTAATTCAGTATTCAATTTAAACACTTAAAGACAAGGCTTCTTTGATTATATAAAATGTCTGTGTTCCTTCTCCCTCTCTAAATGAGCCATTCCATCAGCCAAGAGAGTGCACGAGAGATTGAAAACATGTCAGATACCCCAGATGCACCTTTGTACACTGCAAATTGTACGACTAAACAAAATGATTTTCCACAATTCAATGCATGGGTAAGGCTTCACAATCATTAGCTTTTGTAAATTGTTATTAGGATAATACAGTCAACTCACAAAACCCTACAAAGATCTGACCATCAAAATGGCTACACCAGGAAAACAAAATAAGTGTAAAGCACAAGTCTTTGGCTCTCCTTTAAAGAAAAACAGCAGTTTACCATGTTTATACAGATTCCCCCGTTTGCCTACCAGTAGGGGCAATATCACATTTGTGCATCACTGAGTAATAACACCATTAGAAAAGGCAACTTCACAGAAGTTATTGGCTAAGCGAATTCATTTGAATGCTCTGTTTTGAGGCAGCAAGCTGTCACTGTTACACAATCAGGGAGGGCAAATGGGCAAACGACAGAAGGAAAGGAAGGAAGGTATGGACAAAAGGGAGAGAGTTAGGCTCAGGAGAAACTACACAGAAAAACTTGAGGAGAAGAAAGGGGATAAGAGTGCTGCAAGTTTGAAAGGTGCTCTGATCTCTAAATAAAAGAAGTCCTACTCTGAAATGGTGCATGATACAATAGAATTGTACAACAGGGGTAGAAGAAAAAGCCTAAGTTTCTCCTATTAAGAAAACAGGACTAGGCCATAGGAAAGGAAGAAGAGATATTGAAAGAAAGAGGAGGGAAATAACACTACAGAATAAACATTTCTACACTGACCAAATCACTGACATAGTAAAGCTTAACCTAATACTTGAAGCTTCCTATCCTGGGGTCTTTGTCCATGCTGAGGCTGAAACCCAGGTATCAATGAGGGTTCAGAACTGTCTACTGCAGTAGAAAATTTAACCTACGCACCAAATGATGCAAGCAGTGCCCTAACAACATTGTAATACTGTTTCTTTTTGCCCAAGCAGAATGATCTAACCCAGCTCCTAGCTGAGACCAGTTTCACTGAGGTGCCCAGCACTGCTGCAGAGCTGGGACCATGGTGTGCTATAGAAAAGAAAGTAGCAGGATACAGCTTTACACCAGAAACTGCCATTATCTCCTCCTTTGCTATAGCCATCAGTGCTTCCATTCTATCTAGAGCTAACTGCCCTCCCAGTTCTACTAGCATGCTTTTCCACTAAAAGGGAAAATTTTAGGTGCAGCTTCCAGATAAGACTTAGAAACATGCACCACATTTTGCTGTTTGACTTTTTATCAACTAAATTTCTGAAAAAAAGCAGAAAAAGGATGGGAGGAGGAGGAGGAGAAAAACAAAGAAAAATCAATACTTTTGGTAGATATTAAACAAACTCTTTAACAAGCCAAACTATAATACTGGGCCAACAGGGCATTCACCTGGACAACGATCACAACAAGGACACTACGCACAAAGTACAGCACAGAGAGCTGGATAAAGGAGACAAAGAAACCCCAAAACCAACAGTAAAGTCTCCCTTCAAAACTACAGGTTTTGGAAGCATTTGTTGTATGTAGGCCAGCAATCTGAATAGCTCTTACTGCAGAATTCCTCCTGGGAGCAAGAGAGAAAAAAATAAATTAATCTCTAATCTGGCAAGGAAAGTAGCTGGCACAAGTAATAAAAGCTAAAAAGCCTTTCCCCCTCCAGACTTTCTTCCTAGTGCTGAAACTTAAACTGTAGATTTAAGCATAACATAACCGTCTTTGAAGATTAATTTATATCAAAAATTACTGCAGTCAAAAGAAGGTACATTCTGGGCTTGCCCTCCTAGATTAGAATATTGCACTAATTTTCTCAACTGAAATGAGCTCCATGTGTTAATAAAGACACAGCAGGAAGAAGTAAACTAATTAAAAACAAGAAGGCCGACCTGATGGTGGTGCTCTGCACTAAAGGGAAGCAGAAGAGGGCGCACTGCCTGTGTCGGCTGACTTACGAGCAGGCCGCCTGGGGAACACATTAAATCATCCTCATGCTCAGAGCAGAGAAGGGAGGAACAGACCTGACAGGCTCAAAACTGCATCAGCCCAGTTCTGCTCAGCTCGAAGGGAGCAGCTGTGATGCTAGGCCTCCCGTAGGAGATATGGATGGGTGGAGGCAAGGTGTAGATGAAGCTATTCTAGGGCAAAGATGATTCTCTGTCACAAGTTAAGAGGGGTTAGAATGAAAAAAAAGCAAGCTTCAAAACTACTCTTGGCAATTAAGAGGCCAAAGCTCAACTAAGAGCAAAATAAACCTGTGTAAAGACATACGGAAAGTGTGGGCGTGTGTGCTGAAAAATGCCTTTATTTTCATTCAGTGCTTCTACCTCCCAGACATTTGATCACAACAGCTGCGCTCATGCGAAAAAATTCTTAAAACATACCCAATATATATACAGATATAACTACGTATATATGTATATATATATTTATATATAAATTTTTATTTAAATAAAAAAGAAAGCTCGAATCCCAAGCCAATATGTGTATCAAATCCTTGACCAGCCAGGTCTGTAGGGCATAATCAAATTCAATGTGAAATAGTATATAAACGCGGTGCCTTGACTGGGCAAATTAAATAATTGCTACTCAAAAGAGTCTTCTGTTTGGACTCTCCTACTGGTAGGCAATAGTGGGACTGTATCCCCTCCCACCCCCCATTTTGTTTATTTAACAGTATGATGAATGCAAAGCTTAGCCCAAGGTTGCTATGACCTCAGCAGGAGTTAAGGTTAAGGAAGAAAACTAAAAACCAAGAAAATTTATTAACTCTTGCTTTACCCAACCAAAGCAATGCAGTAATTTATTACATAACCAGTGCTTTCCAATTTAGTAGTCTAACCCAGAGAGTAAAACACAAGAACAGGCCAAGAAGGTGTAGAGGGAGCAGCACTTAAGTTTTCTTCACAGAGTTCTTCATATCCAGGGTTTCAACCCAGTGCATGTCAAAAGACTCACATGTGCAGCAAGAACAAAATCTCTTTCATTTCTTTGACTTTTAAAGGAAAACAGGCTTGCCATTTTTCCAGTTTATGCTTACAAAGCATCAACTTGGAGAAGTAGCACAACAGATCTATCAAGTAAAATTTGCTTTGCAGTACTTCTGACAGGATCTGTGCTGTGCCATTAAGTGGTCACTCTGATGCAAGTTTTCCTCTATGAAAAGGAAATCCAGGAAGGATTTGTTGCAGCAGTGGCAGACAGGCTGCAGACTGATTCTCAGGTATCGTATTCTAACACACAGACCTTAAACAATGCTGACTTTAAAAAAAGAAATAAAAACTTCCCTCTGTTTTAAAGATTGCCATGATTGATGCACACAAAGCAAAGATGTTGCCCTCCTTCAGTAAAAGGCCCTCACAATAGCATTACAATTAAATAACTGATGGACAACTGAACAGAACAACAACAAAAAAATCATGTTAGAGAGGAAAGTATGGTTTTAATAATAACAAAATAGCAATGAAGAAATAAAAAGGCAAGAGCTGCTGAGAAAGAGGGATACATGAAAAGCCTGTTTCAAAAGGCAGAGATATCAGGAAATCCCTCTGCATCAATTTAATTGTACAGACTTTGGGTAAGCTTGTTTCAAGGGATGTAAGCAATGAGTAAGAATGGGGAAAAAAACAGGACTGTGCCGGCTGCATTGCAAAGATTCTGTCACTTGTAGTTAAAGTTTAAGCAAGAAGCCTTGCACTCCTAGGGTAGAATTGTTCCAAGAATGAAGTTTGCTGCACATCTTTTGACACTGCAATTCACAGCTACTCACCAACCCTCATTCCTTGTTTACCTTTAAACCACACAAGGAAGCGGCCAGACTGTTTTAGTCATTGCGAAATTAAGGTGATAAATTATGCACTGGGTATGTAATAATATCAAAATAAAAGAAAAAACCTACTTCATTAAGATCATACAATTAATCAAACAGAGTATATATATAATATCTTTTTTTTTAAGCCCTGGGATCCAAGGCATCCGAAGTTATTAAAATAAAGTTCATTCACAGAACAAAAACAAATTTAATTTGAATTGCTTGCAGATACTGCTAATTTTCATTTTTTTTAATTAAAAAATGCGTTAATGTGAACTATGTGCAGGATTTGTTTCTAGTAGTTGTGTTTGTGCACATTGCCTCTGGACCTGCTGCTCTGCTACTGCTGTTGTTCCTGGGTTTCTCCAATCACCCCTGGAAAAAAAACGTGATGGAAGCTACCAACACCCCAGCAAAAGCAACTCTGGGGTACGTTGGCCTCACTTCATGGAGCAGACGTGGGTGGAACTCCTGCTCGCTGGGAGTCGTGGCTGTCTCCTCCTCCCTCTGGGTCCTCTGACAGGCTGAGAGATGCTGTCTTGTTTGACAGGAGGCCAATATTCTCTTGTGTCAAGGCTGATCCATTTGGAACTTCGCTGCTGAGAGAAAGTTGAGGACAAAAGGGGAAGGGGTAAAGGTAAGAAATTACTGAGATTTTAAAATTTATTTTATGTAAAAGGGCTTCAATTATTTGTTACTGCAGCATCTCAGTGAACATTTGTGAACACAAGTAAGCACGTAAAGCCTTGCCTTGTGTAACAAATAGGTTGTCTGGTATGGTGCAGATATCAGAAAAAGGAAGAAGAGACAAGGCTGATTGAAAACAAGACCACCTAGGTTTAGGGTTCTAGATCAGTTAGGTTTTACCAAGTGCTTCAATATATGCCACAAGATGTACAGCATCAATCTGTACAATGCACATGTTGCAGAAAACTTGAACTTTTTAAATTTTAAAAATATAATATTTTATCATTTCATTACTTGGAGTTTTATACGGAAAAATTAATTTCTGCTCTGGAAGCCTCAATCTAATGGTACAGCACAGAACTGAAGAACTGGTTTTAAGAAGAAAGTGCAGACCTCATAAGCAATTCAGGGGGATATATTTTTCTGAATATACACACTTTCTGAATAAAGAGAGATTCCAAACTTCTCTCATCAATTTATGCTAACTTAATGAAATGTATGAGCTCTTCTGTTCAAACTATTAGTCTGAATAGATGCAAATGCTTGCAAACATCTGAAAATGCTTGCTGGGTAGATTGCCAGGATTCCCAGACAACATCTTATCTCAACTATCAAATGTGAATGGAAATCAATCCCAGCATCACACACAGATAAAGATCACTGCCTACACATGAAAATGAACTTTGTTTCAAAGTTACATACCTTCCTAGGCAACATCCACACCACAAACCTTAGCAGGATGGAATAACTTTTGTCTCAGATTTGCAATATTTCTTTTCTTTGCAACTAAAACGGCAGATAAACAACAGCCATAAAAAATCTTTATCTCCTGTTCCTCCTCCTAACCATCCAATACTGACTGGATGGACTTCTGGTCTTACGAACACTGCAGTTCTGCTGAATTGATATACAGTCTCATTCCATTCACCTTCTCATCAGCTGAAACAGCCCTTAACTCATAATTGTACTATAAAAACTTAATTTGCACACATCTTTTCCTAGTAGGTCCTCCCACAACAGAAGCAAGGGCTATTATTCATATATCAGAGTGTGACCTTGATTCAGTCATTCTCCTGTTATATAAAGAAATGTTGAAGACCCATGTTACCTGAATGTCAGGGCGAGGTCATCAGCTGGAACCTTGTTTTGCGGTTCCAATTGTCCATTTTCTGTCTGTTTAGTGGTGCCCAGTTTGTTTTTTATATCCAGTGAAGACTGGCTCTCCTTTAGGAAAAAAAAAAAAAAAGGACAAAAAAATTTTTAACATTGTGTTGAAACAATTTGAAACTTCATCCTTTAGGACTGAAGATGAAGGCCTGTAAACTGGCGTTATACAGTGTAATCCACAAAAGCCAGGAGACAACAAAACAGACTTGGTAAAATATGCCCATCCTCTCAGGACACAGCATCTCCCAAAAGGAAGGGATGACTCTTGTAACAACAAGCAAAGACCATAGACTGTAACAGCACACAGACTTCTGAACACTAGCCTATGCCTGCAGGTTTTCTATGTTAAAGCAGTTTACAGAAATCGTGGCACAGTGACCTTGGAGACAATTCAGAGTTTTCAATAAATTTAGTGCCACACTTTTGCTGTTATTTTGTCACCATTTGAAAAAAAAAAAAAGTATTTTAAAGTGGCTTTTAAAGTGGCTAGAATGCAGATTCTTCACAAAGAAGAATGAAAAAAATTCTCTGGAGGTTTTGAAGAATGAAGAAGTGAAGAGGGAGATGGACGACTCCAGCTGTGGTCATCCAGCAGAGAGACTTTTTTGCCAGGGTGAAAGGGCTGCAACCAGCTACACAGCTCTCCACCTCTCTGCCTCCCACCCCCAAAGCACTCACCATGCTCAGCTCACGGGTTCTCTTCCCAATTTCCCTTTCCACCTGGTGTAGCTCCAAGCTCAGCTGTTCACTTGAGATCATCCCAGTCCACTTGGGAGGTGGGGGTGGGGGCTGTGGTTGGCCTGCCAGGGTAGTCGCCTCCCTCTGCAACAGCAGCCTGTTACTAACAGCCTAAATGCATAAAGCCAAGCACATACACAACTGAGCACACAACACACCAAGCACAGGAAGAGCTCTAGGCCATAACTCTGGAGTATCGCCTATGTGCAAAACCAAGGCCGCTTCTCTCCATGCTTAACAAGGTCCTAAATCAAATTTTCAATGCAAGTTTCAACATTTTTTTACACACAGACAAGTCTTTTCACTTTAAACAGTGTTAAATACCTTTTACTGTAATAAATTTGCATGACTTTTCCCCATGCACTATTCCCTTCTCAAAAGTAAGATGAAGCACATGAACAAAACCACTCTTTTTTGAAGAAAACATAAGAAAATCTGCTGCTATAATTTTACAGTAGTAGAATTTACAAAATTCTACAGTACAGACATAATTATTACTATATCAGATAAAATATCTTGAGACATGTGCATGTCAGTATGTAGCTCTACTGACCCAGCTTAGGAAGCACAGAACAGAGAGGGGCAAGTAACTACAGTCATTCACAAACTGCAAGATGCTAGTAGCCAAGTAGAGGCTGCAGCCATGTCAGCCACTCCAAAAATCTGCTAATACTTTGGAATTTGGTCTCATTAAGTCTGTGCTCTGCATTTAAGCACACTATTTACTGTTCAACACAACCGAACATCTGGCTGGTCTTCAAGTGGAAATGCTCATTCATTTGAGAAGAGAGCAAAGTCATCTAGTTCTTTATGCTCTGACTGAATGAAGTAACTGAATGAAGCCTTGAAACAGGTAAATCAATAAAGCCTCCAGGATTTCCAATAGCTACTTGCAGCTTCAAAGACAAAAGTTAAACTGAAAGCTCTTATTACTTAAAAGAACCATTAGTTCTGACAAACTGAAATTACCATAAAAATCAAGGCTCAAAACTCACCCAGGATTTCACACTGACACAATCACAATAATAATGAACTGGAGAGGCAGCTCACTTGCAGGTTTTCCAGATTTCTGATACTCTTCTCTTATGGCAAAGGCAGATATGCAAGACTTAAAACATTTTCTCCTCTTGTTTCCAAACAAGAGCACAAGAACACAAGTTCTGTTTCAAGTAACCAAGAAATGCATACTCCTTGAAATTGCTGCTGTGACTTAAATCACTGCGAGCTCCTAAAGCAGATCTGCAATAACCCTCCTCTGTACCACATGTCCTTAGGTAACCATAGTTTCAGCAGAAGCTCCTATCAACTACTTAGAGCAATTCCTTCTGGGAAAACATTTGTATGAATAATGGTTGAGGTACCTAGAATAGTTTTCTGGTAAACATTTACTGATTTTTGCTAGAATGAAAGAAAAGTAACTAAAGCTACACTACAATAATTCTTTCATTATGCCTTGAGATTTCTACTTGTGTGAATCACAAAGTACAAAGATTTCAGCTCATTAATTCTTCTACAGATACAGACTCCCATCTTTCTTCATGTGACAAATGACTATACTACTTCTAAGTGAAGAGACAATATTAAACTAACTTTTCAAGCCAAATATCTTTAATATTTATCTTCCCAACTCTTGTGGCTTGTGCTATTTAGGAAGAAACACGTACAACACAAAGCCAGACATGAAACAGATGAAGGCCATAGCTTTCTGTACATAAAAATCAGACATTTTCTATGGCAGTAAAGCCAAGAGGAACAAACAAGTATCCACACCACAAATTTGCTTCTGAGTAGGCAGATAGAGAGGGGAAGTAAGTGAGAGAGTGAATGAAAGCAAACATGAATGAGCACCGAGTGTGGATTCCAGTATGGTGTCAATTTGCACATGAAGTGCAGGGAAATTTTTATTGCTAAGCAGAGAGTTTTGCACTGGTACCACGGTCCCAATGTCTGGCATCGCACAATTAAGTCCAAGACTGACACATGAAAAGCAGTTTTAGTGGCTTCACCTCTCTCCATACCACCCCTCGCCACTCTTCCAGATGTTAGTACCAACCTCCAGTCCCCGCATTTGTGTCTGCTGGCTGATCTGATGGTCTACTTGCTGCAGCTCCATGCGCAGCTGCTGCTCTCGCTCAGCTGAGGGCAACTGTTTCCCATGACCAGCCACGTCTGACATGGACAGCCTCTCCCTTTGGCATCAGAAAAGCAAAAATATGGAGATTTAACAAAAAAAAAAGGCAGCTTTACTCAGCACAGAAAAAAAAAAAGCAATTTAGGAAAATATAGAAAAAGGTGACAAGAAACCAAAGCAATCCTACCTGTCATTGAAACGTCCCTGAGAAGGTATATTTTGATGAGAATATGGAGAGCCTCCCCAGCCACCGTGAGTTCCGTAAGGACTGTAGTCTGCTAGTGAACACAAAGAAAACCACGTCTCATTTCTACAAAACTACCCTTTCAGTAGCTCCGCCAACACACAGAACTGGGCAGGTGTTTGAGAACAACCAGAAAGGTCAGCTCCCAGAGTGAGGAAGGCTAATGTTTCTCCTGCT